TGCCTAGTTCGTAGGTGTGAGCAGCACCTTGTGATACTTCACCGCTATTCGTTCATTCATGAACACCGATTAAGAATTTATCGTCACTATGGTATATGTGCTCAGCCCGAATTCGACATCCTAGTAGATTAGGATTTTGCTTTCAGAACAGTCCGCAGTGCACTCTCCTCTTTCCGTGTTTCTTGAGCTCCGGTAGACATTGCGAGTACTATGGCCTCCTGTTATTTTGCGTCTCATTTCTCGCTTTTTGCGTACTTCCTATCTACACTGACGAAACTGTCTGGTTCATGTTTTTGTCTTTGAAAAAATGCTTGACATTTACGTATTCTAAGGCTCTTCACAAGAGGCAAATCCGGGCTGTATACCGCTAACTTGATCTCCTGCATACTTGAAAGAAAAGTTACTTTTGCAGATTCTACCCAATAAGCCTATATGTAAGGGCTTGGCTGAACCATCTGTAAGATGTTGAAAATAGGTTCGACAGAAGTAAGAGAAAGTGGAATGAATACTGGTGAGTTGTTCGTTGTCGCCAGCCAACCGTACCTAACTTCGGGTTTGGATCACCTAGCGTTTGAGTCAAAAGACGGGTCCATTTTGCTGTCTGGTACAATCAGTGGGATCGAAATTCACCGATCGGGTTCCGAAACCTCCTCGTTCCGTTGTGCCTTGGGACTCACTGCAGCGTTTTGACGGATGCTCGCACAATGATCCCGAATGCAGCCTGCCAATTTCATGAAATATTACTCGGAATTCTGAAATATGTTTTCGCTTCAAAAAATTACTTGAATGGGGTTGTTTTATTGGTTATCGTGCAACCCTCTCTCTCTCAAGATACGTCAGTGGTATCCGCATGCCGGATTTATAAAGATGTTCTTTCTGAGCGCCTGTAAAAGCGTACTCTGCAGAAAAAGTTCCTTATGTAATATGCCTTTTTTCTCATTTATTTTCGATACTCTTATTAATTTAACTCTATTTTATAGAAAAAAGGAAAAAGCATATTCTTTCTTGTACTGGTTTCGTAAAAAATCAGGCCTGTTTTAAATTTTATACCTGAAGAAAGTGTATCTTTTGGTATTAAACACTATTCTTATTACGAGACGTTTTAGACCATGAAATGTTCATGTATAATGCATCGTAAATTTATTAATTTTGCCAATAAGGCATGTAACATGATTTACACTTTGTGCAAAACTTTTTGACCGCTATGTAAACATTTTCTCACAACCTGGAGGAGTTTGTGCTTTTCCTTCTATAGAATGTACATAGCACGTAGGTTGGAAAGGTTGAATGCAAAGGGAAAGACCAGTTGGCTTCAAACTTGGCTAGAAATTTATAAAACGTTTTAAAGCTGAAAGATACACTTTTTCAAGTATAAAATTTGAATAAGCCGTAACTGTCTACCAGACGAGTACAACAAAGAATATTTGTGTGATGGTTTCTGAAAAAATATATTGGAATTTATAGCAGCAAAATGAGAAAAAAGCATACTGCGTCAGGAGCCCTTTTTCATAGAATGTACTTTCGCAGGCGGACAGAAAGCATATCTTTCTATAATCGGCCTCCTAACGTGATTGAAATATCTTAAGATCAGACCACATGATTATTTATATCACAGCTCTATTTAAGTAGCTTGCTGGAACCATAAATGCACTTCAGAATTTCAGATGACATGTCTTGAGATAGACAATCTACTGTACAGTAGGTGGGCCAATTGATGAAATCCAAATATTTTTACAAGAAAATCTCTAATACGCAAAAATAGCTCAACCTGCGTTCCCCAAAAAGTCTTAATGTATATAAGTACATATCATAATAAGAAAGAGGATATACTGTCGTTTATCAAGCAATATTATGTGGTAAAGTAACAGTAATAACTTTAAAGAAACAGAGATATCCTAAAAAGTAAAAAATCGGGGCTATTAAGGAAACTTACGTGTTAAAATGTAGAGGCAGTCTGTTCCTGCAGAAAAACCAGGTGAATAAAGTTGCATAAGTAGGATTACCTATAAAAATAGTGCGTTGATGACATTTTGTTGGATATATATACGTCCAAACTACCCAAACAGCACATGGCGCACAAAAATGGCTAGTTGTTTCTTTATTTCTATCTTCCTGGCGATAGGCTGGACTAATTCAAGCAGATTTTCCCTTGATTGTGCCGATGCGGATGACACAAGATTAAGGTGTTTTAAAAGCTCCCATCTGGAGATACCGGTCAGTGACTAGTAAATGTTACTCAATTTGTAAGGTGCAATCGTAAACATACCACCTTGTGCACATTGAGAGAAATTTCCTTCCGTCACCTTCCTTCGTGATTATTCCGGCAGTTTGAATGGGATTTGTTTAGATGTTTCTTGAAATTCTGCTTAACACTTTACGAATTTCATTGTTTTTATTCGTTTGTCCCTGAATAATAATTTTGTTCTTCCTGTTTACCAAAAACTTCAAAGTAGGATATTTTTTAAAAGCATTTACCTAAATAATGCGTTTCTAAACATTCCTTCTTATTTAGCTGTCTGTTTGGGTCAATGTTTCAGACCACCCAAACTTGTCAACTCATTACCAAGAAAAATGAACGTCCATGTCGCAGATGAGTACACCCAAGATTAATTTTAAAAAACTTCCTGTAACAAGTTATATTTGAATGGCTATGAATGTTGGAATTCCAAGTGTTTGTATTAGTAAGGTTGAAAGGATGAAAGGAGTTCTAACAGGTTCAGAGAACCTTGAAATGGTTCACAGCTCAACAGTAGAGCACTTGACACACTGACTAAGGATTCTGGGTTCGAAAACTATATGCTTTAACCCCCCTGGGATTGGGCGCGGTTAGCTGATGACAGCTAATAAGGCAGAAATGACCCTCCTAGCCTCATTGCTGTTTGCCAATTGCCTCCCTTAGCTTATATCAATAGTTGTTAAAAGATTATATTCGAGACAATCAGCTCCGATTATATGGTCGGTAAATTCCATTCCCATGGACAGCTTAGAATTTTAATTAGCTAACTTTCGTTTATATTTGTTCTCTATGTTTAAGTAAAGTAAACAGACCCCATCTTATAGGCTTAGCATGCACCCTCAACCATGACAATAGGGACTTTATTCACCCAAAGGAGGCAATATAAGCTTCTTTCAATAAAGAGGGCTGTGGGATGACGTTTATTACGCACGAATAGCATTTCTTTGTCTTGATAAAAGGGCGTGCCCCGTAGACTTGAAGTAGTTTCGGTATGAATTCAATCTCCAAATTGGTTTACTGATCATTTAATCCGCCAGTGGGATGTAGGTAATTCCATTAGGTTCTAAGTTTTCGAATAGTCAGAAAGCTGGATCGAGGTTTTAGGTCTTTTTTTCATGATTCCCCCAAGACCAGGCACACTTTTTGGGCTTCTTTTTCATTTCCATGATCCAAATTCATTGCTTCGACCTAGAAACTACACAAAATATAATCGCTTCCTGTTTCTGGTATAAAAACTTGGTTCCTTTAGTCAATGAATACTTTATACCGCACTGATATGCCTGTTATTCAGTAACCGGCACCTTAAAGCTTGATTCTACCACCCCTATGTAGCTGATGCAGATGTGTATGAGAACATCGCTAATGCCTCCTATAATCCCAAATTTTTGTAGAATTTTGAAACTTTTAGAAGCTGCCAGTAGCTGCCAGAAGTTGAACTGATAAAAAAATTCTTCGAACGTCGGACTTCATCGTTAGTATACTGTAGGTCGAATAACGACCTAAGCCAGCCACCCCAGATATTTTTTACGGGACTGTCCTTATATTTGTCATTGATTTGAAGATTCAGACCCGACTCCAAAATAAACCTCTTTCCTAAAGTATTTTTTGCATTCACCTACCGTGAGCGCGTTCAGGGGGCGTCTGAATAATCGCCTGGTAAACGTCAACCAGAACTTTCCGAACCCGTGACATTTTATTAAGATATTTATAAGCATACTACTATCAGTATTTCTAGTAGATGTTTTGTTTTCAGTATCCTTAACATTGCCGAATACAGCGTCAGCAGTTTCTTCGCAAATGCTACACCTTTTTCAACATTTATGTTGCACTATTAGTTTTATGCATTTTGCACACTAAAAATACCTGTAAAAATTTGCAACTTAGCTGTCCTTCATGCAGACTGTACCAGATAAATGGATTTTAAAGGGCTTTTTTCATTTATGTCAAACTCGCCGACTGATTGTTTGTCTGTAACTCAAAGTAGGACCTATTATCTCGGTCAGTCATTTAGCCCTTTGTCTGATGTTCTGAATAAAACGCTTCGACAGTGGGAAACCGAAAAAAACCTTCCGAAATGCCAGCATCACAATAACTCTGTTTTGGGGACTCTTTCTCATCCTCAAGTTATCGCCTTGGCACCCTCACCCTTACAGACCTGAGGTCATTTCACACAGTGCTGAAAACCGAACTTGCAGCTCCATGACCCGATTTCTGCTCCTTTTTCTTGCTGTCGGATCTGTTGGTCAGAGTGGCTTAACGCGATTGCGAACACTTTTACGCGGGTATCCGTGGTGGGACAAATGGAACCGCGTGTGGTTAAATAGAGTCGGTGTTCCCTCACTTTATACCGATGATATCTCGCTCTCTGCTAGCATCTTCTCTGTCGCCAGCTCATCCGCACGGCCCTTTCCTTCAATTACTCAATTTCAGTTTATGTCAGTCTATTCGGTCAACGTAATAGGCAAGGCCTTTAAGACCTCTATTGATTAAATGCCGGCGCATCCTATACATATGTACACGCAGGCGTAAATTGTCACTATTAAAGTAGTATTGACCAACAGTGGGTAGCATTGTTTTTACAAATAACTCATAGCACTGCACTCACGATCGATGGCCTGGTAGCCATGCGGAAATCAACTCCCAGTCCAGATGGATCATTTGGACATGTATTACTATTCTTTCTAAGATTGTCAAATCCCTTTTACATTTAAACTGACAGTAATATAAGTTTATCAACTGTGTTCCGTTTTTCTGTAGTCAGAACATGACCCCAAATGTTCTACTTAATCGCCCGTGTCTCGTTCACAAAGTCTTCTGTCGCTTAAGTAATTGTGGCAGTCTGACTAACGGGTTGCTGTTAAAGATTTAAGGCTAGAATGTCACTTATAACTGCATGTTTTACTAGGAGGGATTAAGTCCTTCCATCCTGCCCGGGAGTTCAAAGTCTGGATCCCATCCAGGCTGTCGTCTAACAAAACGCACGTAAGTATCGGGAAGTCGAGTCGGAATGATGATTAGTATGCCAAATGAGGCCATTCCATCGTCCCTAGTTTTAATCGGAGCAGTGCTAGTTTCCTGATGAATATAAGTGACCAAATTGAAAATACTGTGCTTCACAATTCACTAAGAAAATTCTCATTCTTTCAAGTCGAAGAGTCTAAGTCTGAAAATAGTTCCTGATTCCCCTGAGGCTTCGAGATGCCTCCTTTATCCATCTTCGATTATGTGAAAGAAGAAAACAACGAGTTTGAATTATCCACTCAACACAGACCTATTTCTTTGTGCAGAAGCTGAATGCGAAATTACTATTTACACAGTCTTTGCAAGTTGTCAGTTATTTGATCTATCTCTGTGCTTGTCCTCATTTACAGACTACCAGTACCTCGAGTTAACATTCTACGAGGTCAAGTACCCGAAGCGCTTTCAATGGTACGTCAACCAGTTGCCCCAGTGGTGCAGTGATAACGGTGGGTCCTTCCTTGGGGGTACCTCGAAAGTGAATCAGATGATGGGAATGACCAAACCCAACTACATTACAGTGACTCAGTGGAGAACGGAAGAGGAGTATGCAAAATATCATCAAAATGGTAATGCTAACATGTTCCCTAACGCAGCTAACTGGTCGCTTTTTCAAGTAGTTGGCGCTGATAAGTGTGTGTTTAGAGTTCTCAAGTCCGAATACGAAAAGCTGGAAATGTGTTTTCAATTAGAAAAGATCAGTTAGGTAGAGTTGTAACATTAATTGCCTTGCAGCCTATTCCAAAGAGTGACGACTTTCGAATAAGCTTCCTACCGACTGTCTGCCGTAGCCACACTAGTTAAAAATGCCCACTTAAGTGGTACATATTTCTCCATTGATTTTCGGTGCCTTAATAAATGTAACTATTCAGAATAGGAACTGACGAGTATACGTAAGCTTTCGACAAATTCTTATCGGAGCACGCAGTCAATAATGTTCGTCTTATGTCCGCGTGTGGCATCGCCAATGGTCGCTTAACGACACTCTTCCACTCTATCTCTTTCTCCCTCTCTTCCTTTTCCCTGGACTGGCTCTACCCAACCCTCCCTACCACGTAACCAGCCTTCTGTTATTGACCCCTCCCGCCTATTGCCAATACTCACTTGTATGATAAGACGAACATGATTGACTCCATGTTTTACCTTTAACCTCGTTCCCATATAAATTTAGTGGTCCGATGATAACTTATAGAAAGCTTACATATGCTCACTAAATGCTCTTCGAAATTCCCTAATTGGAGTTTTCGCAACGTCATTTTAAGAATATTTTACAGAAAATATATATACAAATGGCATTTCCTGTGCCTATTTAGTAGTAAACTCTCTTTTCTTCAAATCTTACACTTAAAGAGAGGGTATCTTTCGGTTTTAAAAAATGTTCAACGCCGGAATAATTTATAACCTGGCCTGCCGTTGCACTTGTATTTAGGTAATTCCAAGCTACATGCCGTACACAGCCCATCTAGGGAAAACCACAAATTTCTCACCGCTATTAAAAAGTCATCGTGCGGTTTTCATAACTCTTTTTTGGATTGCAATGCTTACTTTGCGAATTTTACGTAATATAGCATTTTAAGGCAACTTTGACTACTCTTCTCATGATTTCCTATTAGACACAAATCAGTTATCTGTACAGACCGGCTGCAGACAATCATCGTATCATGTCTTTTCTAGAATGATGGGCAATTAGAAACCACCATGAATGCTCCTCTATAATGAAACAGTAATAAGCCTCTTTTTAAGTATAGAACAGTTCGTTTGAAAATCCTGGAGGCAAAATCAAAGGCAAGTCAGACAAAATTTTGACCGTAGCTCTTAAGCACGTTCACCATGGACGCGGGAAATGGGTGCAGCACCTGTAACATACGCGTGAAATAGTTTATATTGATAGCAGACTTGCATCGCATCTGCCGCACAGGCTTCTCCCTCTTCTAACCGGCCCGATAGCAGGACAGAATCAGGATCGACCTCATCCCATGCTCCCTCATTTACCATGCTCCGATGTCAAAACCACTGTCAAAACTGTTGGGAGCCCAGCCTACCCGAATGCCAGCTTAACCTTGCAGACTGTCCTGACACGTCACGCCTGTGGCCGACTGCGAACAATGATGCCATTGACGGCTTCGAGGTCTT